AACCATCACCATAGCGGAAACAAGTATATGAACAAGTCAGCTAAGGATTTTTTTGTCGTCTCTAGAAGTTCTTAGTTAACACAAAACTACCATTCACTAACGATTTGGGATTTCAGCTGTCATCGAATTCTAGAGTCAATAAAGCAGTTATGTTTCTTTCATCTAACAGTCTTGGGTAACCCATCTAGATTGCATCAAAACTAGCCAATTCTACACTGGTAAGGAGGAGTTAAATCATAAAAAATAATCCTTTGGAAAAGCGAACCTGATGTAGCCTTGAGTATACAACCGCTCAGCAAGATGCATAGCCGTCTGTGGCCCAAATCCTAGAGCACTTGAAGCAACCTGTGTAACATTATTGTTATACTAAATCAGGGAGCGCACTTTGAACAAAACTTGTGTCTCTTAAACTCAGAACAAGATTAAGCAATGAAATTTTTTGATTTGCCACAACATCAAACTCAAAAAAAGGATAAAGAAAGAAAGAAGAGGATAAACTTTGTAGCCAACTTATCCACAAAACAACCATGACGATGTTCCTTTGAATTAATGCAGATTTTCAGTACGTTTTTCTATCATTAGTACAGGATATGGTGTTCCCTTAAAGCATAATGTACAGTCAGACAAGTTCATTTTGGAAAAATGGCAAAACAACTCGTGAATTCTCTTGACCTTAAGCAGATTGACTGTGTTAAGACCAGATGGGCGACCTTTGACTTCCTGCTTTTCTGATACATCAATTACTTTTGCTGTTCTTCCTTCCACGACCAACTTTTGGAACACAGTAGCAGCCTACAGTGAAAGCAATATTATCTACAACGAAAGATTAGAAAGAAACAGTCAAGAATGTGAAATACTTTAAAACACTCAGAACGAAACACTAACTTCCAGGTCAAACAATCTACGTCTCTCCCATTCTAGCTGAAGCTCATAACCATCCTTCATTATATGAGGTCGCAGAGCCCAAAATTTTTCTGGCTTGAAAGTATTAATCTGCATGTACCGTTGCACACAAAACCCAAGAGTAGGAGTCTGGCATGGCCCATAACTGAAATAAACATTTAAAATGATAAGAGAACTAAACTAGGATTGAATGACATAATATAAAGAAGATGTAAAAATCTAGTTGGTAATATAGTTCCCGGAAAAAATTATATCGAAAATTTAAGAAAGACTGACAGAAAGGATAGAAAATCAGGTACTCTCTTTTCAGCATTCTAAAAAAGTCTTAATAAGGAGAACAATATGATCAAATTTGAAGCTGACCCCTCAATATGAACAATATAAGCAAATCATGACATCTCATTTTCCATCTTATCATGACAAATGAAGAGGTGTTACCAGGATATACAACATAAAAGCACAAATCTTACAGTGCTATGTTCATACTCCTTTTAAAGCAAGAATATGAATTGCACTACTTAGATGCTCTAAATGTCAGGAGATAATCACGATGGAGTTCAACAGCCGTATCTTATATAATTCAACCATATCAAATACCCCAAGAAAAGTGGGAAACAAAAGCTCATCTGGATTCAAGGAAAAAGTAGGCCCTACTTTCCTGAGAATCTTTACAAACAAAATAAACGAGGGGATAGAAAGGAGATGAGAGGAAACTGACGAGATAACTCTGCAGTCTAGATTCTGATATTTTCCTTGAAAATAACTTGTTTGGAATCGCGAGAATGCTACGCCAACTTTTAGATCTATCTCTTGACGAGCATCTACTGCCAGTGCCTCATCCCTATTTGGTTCAACAAGGTTGTCCATGGCCTTTGAGATATCTTTCTCGGTCACAGAAGAAAATCGAGCCCGATAAACCCTTCTCTTAGTATCTTTCATGTCAAAGCCAGTGGACTCGATAACTACAGAAATTATAAAGGTCAGCAATAATAGCAAGAGACAGCAAAACATAAGTACTTCCAAATATAAGTGGCATGGAAAAGTAGTTTTACAGGAAAACAAGAAAATTAAGATATTGGTGTTTGCAATGCTAATACAGGAGCTAAATGTATAATTGAATTGAAATCTCAATCTAATACTACAACTTAAAGCGTCTACTATTGGATATTGGTATTTTCTACAGGTTCAAGTATTCAGCAGCCTGATATAAATCATTTAGCAACAACAGAAAAGAGGAACGGTCATGGATTCAACAATTGCCAATAGAATGGTTCTAAGGAATACCAACAGCAAATTCTGTATATTTCAACCACAAGTTGGTGAGAAGGAAAATGGAAAACAAAAACTGTAGACGTACCTTCAAAACATATATTCTCCCCTTCACGATCGCAATCCAACCACAACACCATGTAACTGCAACCACGTGCTTCATTACTTAAATGCCTACAAATATGAGCCTGAGATTTGAAGACTATTAGAGAAAAGATTACATTAGCGCAAAAATAAAAGACACAAGTGGCATATAACCACTACACAAAGATCCAGCTCCTACAGTCCTACTACTAACCATTATACATACACAGAATTTTTCTTCCAAAATTCATGCATGTCGTTTTGTTATAAAGCAATAACGCTCATCCCTTGAGCTATAAAATGTGTATAACCACTGCCATTGTCCAAGGTAAAAGCCAACAAATCAGCTCAAGCACCCCTCCATGCACATAGAAAGGAGATGTAAGACCGTGTCAAATATTTACCTTCGGGTTTGACTCTTTCTTATGAATTGGCGCGTCAAAAAGATCTTGCGGATCGATTGTTGCCCAATTTTGATACTTTTCTGGGAAATCTACACTAGAATATGTAAATGGCATTTAGAAAGACAGAACTCTGTCTGCAAACAATAGTTTCTGTAGCAGCGTTTAACACAAAATAGAGTCCAAAACAATTTTCAAAACTCCCTAGCGAAGCAAGAATTTGAATACCCCGAATTCTTAGCAAACTAATAGAAGTAACTAATAGAACAAAGCAAACATTCATGTCCACGCATTCGATAATGAAAGTGTTATGCACAATAAGAAAATTGACATTGTTCGAAAGGTAATCTAAGCCAAAACCAAATCAAAAGGATTTCTATTGTTTGAATAAATAGTTAGGAGAGAACCTGAAAACATGTCCAATAACAGAAGTAACTCTATAATGTGCATTGAAGCCTCGAAACATCCCATCAAATTCATGCACCTCTGTACTTCCTCTCCGTGTAGACATCTAAATTCAAAAGGAAAATCTGATTAAAACCAAATCTCTAACACCAACAGCAAATCAAGTATAGCAACTAAAGAACTGATTCAGCTTTTCAACTACCACAAAGGTGAAATGCAGTCACAACACTAAGCAAATACCATTATCTAACAACCCATCAGAGAAAAATTAAAACTTTATAGTCAAAAAGCACAAATCGAGCAACCTTGCCATGAGAGAGAACTGAAGCTATCGAGAGTGCAATACTGGGCTTCTCCGCGACCTGATGAAAGCAAACGAGAGGAGGAGATTTTGTAAGAGACGAAGATGAGGAAGTAAAAATCGAAATCAGGAAAAACCCTTATTCCCTTACCATAAGAACTCTGGGGAGATGAGCCATTGAAGACGATGTCGGAAACGGGTCAAAACTCAAGCTCCGGCGTCGAAAGAGCCTAAGCCGAAGTCGCGAAAATCAGTATTTAGGAAAAAACACACAAACGAACAAGTTTTTGGCACTACATAAAACGCTATCGTTTTCGATGCACATATGCCAAATAGGCAAATCTTATTATATAAAGTAGGCAAAATTGTAACTCACCATGTTGCATGTTCAAGTGTTAATACGATGATGACATTTGTTAGAAATTAAATATAACTAGGTGACTGACCCACACCCTTGTGCGGATATAATTTTTTTTTTATGAAATAAGTTAATTCTAATAATAATCCAAAATTTACTATTTATAAAAAAATTGAATTCTCTTATGTATGTAATATAAAAAATAATATGTGTGAAATAATATTTTAAATATTTTGAGTGTTATTTTAAAAATTAGTGTTTTTCCGTTTTGTAACTTTTGTATTTGTGTTTAAATAAAACTAAAACGATAGATAACATTATGTAAAATTTTATAATTAGTGAAAGAATGTTTTGACATATTGGAAAATTTAGAAATGGTGAGAAATTTAGGAGACACAATACTACAATCTTCAAGGAAAAACACAAAACCAAACAATTTTTTTTAATTTTTATTTTTAAGTGATTTGTAAACCGCACCTTGCGTATATATGCTTCAAAAATTTGTAAACTCCGTGTATGGTAGTGTTATCATTCGTTGATTTTTATTTTTTGGTTTGACATTTGTATAAAGTTTGTTAATGTTAATAAATTATCTACATATGTTTTATTTATTTTTCTCAGTTTTGTTTTGTTTTTCTTCTTCTTTCAATGTTTTCTCTTATTTTCATCGTCTTCGTCTTCTTTGTTTTATATGACGTCTTCTTTTTCTTCTTTTNCCGGTCGTGCTTCTTTTCGGTTTTTGTTTTTTTGTTCTTCTACTTATTAATTCTCCTAGCTTTTCTAAGATTCTNANTTGCTTCNAAATTGGCAANANNNNTTTCTTTATACTCCGACATAGTTTTCGTTATTTTTCGGT